TAGTGAGAATCTGTCTCAAAAGAAACAAAAAGGCCAATATATTGCACTGAAACTTTTTTTTTTTTTTTTTTTGAGATAGGGTCTTGCTCTGTAATTCAGGTTGGCCTTAAACTCACTATGTAACTCAGGCTGGCATCAAACTGCGGCAATCCTGCTGCCTCAGTCTCCCAAGCGGTGGGACTACGTTCATATGCCACCATAGCTGGCTTCTATTAAAATTTTAATTTTCATAAAATCCAGTTTAAGTAAACGAAAATGAAGAAACATTATATAAGAAAAAAGCAAAAGCTGTTAACGAAGAAAATATGTGTGTAAACTTTTTAGACTAGAGCTTCTTTGCTTCCTTGGATGTTAGCAACACTTGATATTTTCCAAAGAAAAGGAAATGCAACCTCTATCTTTTGAGGCTTTGAAAAAACACTTGCCCTAATGTTTAGATAATTCTACAAACATCTTAGGTAATGGCACAATCTAGGTGTGATCCAAATCCTTATGTATCTGTGAAGAACTATAGGTATTACCTGTTCATTTGGAACGGCATTCTAAGAACAGCAATTCTGTTTTTTTGGAAGTGACTTGCTAGCCGGGTGTGGTGGCACCCATCTGTAGTCACAGCACTTGGAAGGCTGAGGCAAGAGTATTGCCACAGGTTTGAGGCCAGCCTGAGATATACAGAGAGACCCTGTCTCCAAAAAGAGAATGCATCTCTAAAATAAATGGGATTTGGCAAGTGTGGTGGTTCCTTCCTATAATCCCAACATTCACGAAACAGAGGTAGGAGTATCACAGCAAGTTCCACGCCAGCCTGGGCTACACAGTGAGTTCAATACCAGCCTAAACTACATAGGGAGACTATCTCAAGTAAACAAACAAATAAATACATAGGGTTTATACTAATATTTGCTTTAAGCAGCTGTTCAGGAAAGCAGCAATAAGAAAGTGAGGTAAAAATATATAGACTACAATGATGCTATATGCCCTTGTACTAAATTTTTTTGTTTGTTGGTTGGTTGGTAGCAGGGATTGAACTCGGGCCATTGAGCTTGCAAGGTAGGCAGCGGAACCACTGAGCGAAATCCCTGGGCCCTATTAAAATTTTTTTTTAAGGCAGAAGATATATAAAGTTGGCTAATGCTCTACCACTATGACCTGAAATGTATATTTACATACTCTACAATACCTTAATATCACACTGCTTAAAACTCAGTAAGCAAGTCAAGGGTTGCCAAACAATGGCTACCGGCCAAACAGAGCCACAGCCTATTCATGTAAATAGTTTTATTGTAATATACATCCTGAATATACTTTCTATGGCTGTCTCCTTTTTTTGTTTTTTCAGACAGGGTCTCACTATGTAACTCAGGCTGGTCTTGAACTCACTATACAGCCTAGCCTGGCCTCAAACTTGCATTAATCCTCATGCCTCAGCCTCTTGTGTACTGGGATTACAAGAGTGTGCTACCATGCACAGCTCTTTGGCGGTTATCAGTTATCATTCTATAAATTGTAGGACTAAGTAATGGTGAGAGAGACAATATAGCCCATAAGACCTAAGTATTTACTACGTGATTCTGTACAGGAAAATGTCTGTTAATCCCAGTCTTAGAATAATCAGAACTAATGATCTGACAAATTTATGATTAGTCTATAAATTTATGTATGGAATAAGATAATGAGTGAATACGGTCAAAGAGTCAATGAATTCTTTCCCAAAACATCCAACAATAAACTAAATGGGAAAAAGCCTCTGGCTGATTCATCTAAAAATCTTACAACTGCCACTTATGACTAAAAATTAAACTTTAAAAGCAAACAGTGAGGCAGGCATGGTGGGACATGCTTGTAATCCCAGTTACTTAGAAAGCTGAGGCAGGAGGACCAAAAGTTTGAGGACAACCTGAGCAACTTAATGACATCCCATCTCAAAATTTTAAAAAAGGTCACAGGAGTTGCTCAGTGGTAGCGCTTGCCTATCATGTGGGTTAAATCCCTGAACCACAAAAAACAACAACACAAACAACTACACACACAGAAAAGGTAAATTTCTCTTAAGCTTTTAAAAACTGTGCTATAATAATAGAATAACACACAAATCTCTTGTACTTCCATTGTTACTTCTATTTAACCACCACCAAGATGTATACCAGTTCTTTATTTTTTGTATTGATATCCTAGAATCTCTACACGTCCAACCAGTAAACTACTTAGATCACTGACTTTATAAAATGTTTTCACTTAACAGAATAAGAAGGTAATAAGAGTAGCCAAAATCTGTTCTGGATGTATTTGGTCTCTTCTATGTTCGTATGTCGAAAAATCCCAGAACCTGGCATGGCTGCATTGCCTGCATTTCCAGCACAGGAGGATCACTTAAGTCCAGGAGTCCACCACCAGTCTGGGCAACATGGCAAAACTCTGTCTCAAAAACAAATAAAAATAAAAATCCCAAAGCTGCTATAGCAGTCATACAAAAGAACTACAACCAAGTAAGCTGTTAGATATACCAGCTATTCCTAAGAAAAAGCTAAGCAACAGTAACTGACTTTATCGGCTAATGTAACAATGAAAAAATTGCCTTGACCAATTATTCTAGGTATCAATGACACAGTTGTTTGGTTTTAATTTTAGCTACACTCTTTTATAAATGATTATGGCACTGTAAAGGGATAGGGTTCAGAAAGCAATACAATATCGATAGTAAAATACAAACTAGAGTTTCTGTAAAATATTTCTATAAAGTATTTCTAGAATACCATACAAATTATACTGAAAAACTAAAAGTTATCAAATAATTCAGGGCTATATTTTTATATATCATTATCATTCTTAAAAGCACTGTGAGTCAATCATACAAAACTAATACCAATAAAACCCGATTAATTCATTTATTTACCATTATTTTTCTCCAGTTGACAAAGGAGATACTGTGAATTCTTAAAATAGTTCTGAATAGTCTCGAATGATATAATGAAATGTTCCTATTTCTGAGTTCTTAGCCAATAGCCTGGGACCCTTGACAATACCACTGTAGTTACAGGTTGTAAGGCGATGTTAAAATAAGCTTAAATTAATAATTTAACAAGGCCAACATGATGAAAATAAGCAGAATATAATTAAATAAGTGATTTTCTGATTACATACTCATACCACTTTCTTCTTTAGTATCTCAACTATTTTAGATTTAAGAAAACAAATATATGTAAAAGTACAATCAAGTGACAACCAGTTTACCATAGACTTGAGATTTACTCAGAAATCTTATTTTATGCTTTTAAAAAAGAATTAAGTTAGACCTTACTCCTCTTTCTCACCTGCTGGGCATTTTCAAGAAAATATCCTAATGAACGTTCAAGCTTAAATATTTTTTTCAAGGCTCATTTCTCACATGAAGTTGATTTACATGAGTTACCAATAAATATGATCAAGATGGGCAAATTACTAAGACTAGGACAAGTTACGGGGTCAAGTCTTTAAAAGGTATCTGGATGAAAAAATGGAAACCCCACCCAGCATTCAACTTTCTAGGCTTTTCTATTCCCAGTTTTCTCTCTATAAAACCTAGAAAAGCAGAACTTCCTCCTCACTGCCTGCGTAAAGGCCTGGTATAGAAACTCAGATCGCTTTATCCAAGTACCTCCTTTAAGGCAGTCTTAAGGCTCAAGCCTGCTCAGAAACAGCAGAATGGTTGGCCTTCTCACGTTAAAGGAGGGCGATTACAAGGTTTGGCGGCCGGATTTGTCAGGAAGCGCAGGGCCGAGCAAGAGGGAGAATCCAGAGGCTAAGCTCCATCTAGTCCCAGGAACCACCCCCAGGGGAGGCTTGACTGCCCTCAGTACTTCCCTGCCTCCTCAGCTGGTGGGAGGAGAGCGGTAGGTCGGGGTCAGGTTCCCCCAAGCTACTTCCCGGTCCGATGGGACTCGCCTTCGGACACCCGAAACGCCCCCGGCCCGGTTCGCTCGCCCTTTGCCCCGTCTCCTCCCCTCAGTGACCCACCACCACAGGTCCCCTCCCATCTAACATGGCCGCCCCTCCTGGCCCACCCCCGGCACAGCCTAACAAATTGGGGGTGTTCGCGGCACCGCCTTCCCTGCACCCATTGGTGCAGCAGCCTTGGACGGCCTTCCCGATTGGACACCACAGCCTGCCCCTCAGTCCCGAGGGACCCGCCTCCGAGCTGCTTCAAGCTGCTTTGAGAAGACAT